GAAAGCGATAGGTTTCTAGGCAGGTCGGTGCCTGGGGAGAGGGGAATTGTCACAACTCTGGCTTCAAATAGGGGCGCCATGGAAGCGTTCCCATAGTTTCTAGTCTCATGTTATCCTTCTTCACCCAAAGCAGTGCGAACTCCAGAGTCGCTTTGGGCTCTGACCAGACCCTGGGGTCATATCTTAACAAAGAGATAGTGCCTCTTTCAGAGAGCTGGGATTCCAGAAGGACCATAGCTGGCTGTTCAGACACTAGTGCTGGCAAATTGCTTCTTGAATAACTTAACAAGATTTCCAGTGTCATGGAAGATGCACACTTTTTACTGAAGATGTGATAAAATTCTTACAATAAACATACATTCACAAGGAAAGTGCTCATAAAAAGAAAATTCCTGCGCTAGATAGTCTCACAAAAGAGTTTGTCATATTTTTTTCCAGTTAATGGATGCCTACCGCAGTCACACAGTTTAGTGACAGGAGAACTGAATTCATTTGAGCCAATAAAGTCACTCTAATTTGCATTTTCATAGCCCACTCTTCAGTACTCCAAGTGTGACTTTCACTTTTAGGACAGAGCTATGCTTTAAATGGATAGGTAGGCCCTTTAAAAGAATATTTATCATCCTTGAAGAATCTTAGTGCCAAATCTTAATAGCATTTCTTACAAAAATGACTGGAATTCACTATCAGATTTAGAGGTAGAGCTGTAGAGATTGTGAATACTCGTTTCCTGAACCTCTTCCCTGATAAAAAGGAGAGAGGTTAAAGCCTAAAACAGTGAAAACTTTCCCTCCAAAATGAAAACATTGAATAAAAAAAAAAAAAAAAAAAAATCCCCAAATCGTAGTGCTCTAGAAATCAAATTAATGCAAAAGAACTGTGTGCTTTATTTAATTTAGTCATTTTCAGAGATAAATAATTCAACATAACTTTATGCAATGTTAAAATACCTTTGTTAATTATGCCAATCAGAGGATAAGTTATTCAGGCTTTTGAAGATTTTTTTTCTGTCCCAACTGATGTTAAAAAACACAGAAGACAAGGAGAACTTCATGTCCAGTCTGTGTGTGATTTGATGGAACAATTGCCTTAGGACCTGCTGACACTCTAATTGGAGTCTGCATAATGCAGAATCAGAACCCGACTTAAAACAGTGCTCTCTTCCTTCCGTTATCCCTCTGTTAATTTCATTTAAATAACTCCCTCATTTAAATCTTGAGTAAAAACCTAAAATCAGTGAACAGTTCTGACTTCAGTGAAGGCAAGGTTTCATCATCTTTCTGCAAATCGTTGTGACTCTGTGCTGCTCATTACTTGTTTTTCTTCTCTGATGGCTTCCTCCCTATCCGTTTTTATGGGTCTAGTGTTTCACCACCTGAAGATAAAAAGGGGTTTAAGATTCAAAGATCTTGATCTGCATGATAAAAATATTTTGTCATATGCAATTTAATTCAGTGTTGGCAGTTCTCATTATTCTGATTACTTTTTTCCTCTCAGTTCTCAGCTTTTAGGATCACCGTATTTTATATGAAAATTTAAAGTTTTCATATGCAAAAAGCAAATTTCTAGTTCTCATCTTTCCAGAAAAAAGCTCGGAAGCATAAATTTTCAATACTCACTTCGAAATAAATGAGTCAAATGAGTAAAAAAGACACCCCCAAACCATGCTTCAAAAAAAACCCCACCAAAAACTTCATTTCTCAAGAAATGAGTCATAATTTTTGAACTTTCGAGATTATTACCATTATTAAAAATGGGTGTGATTTCTATTTTAGCTCCTCTTTTTTGTTTTTTTTTATGTTAGCTTCTTTGCATTTCAAATTACTCTCCTGAAGTCAAAGATAGAATGTGGTCCTACAGAATACTGCCCTATGAAATGAGATTTGTTTGTATTATTGTGTGCAAAATGCATGCCTGGGCAGATGGTTTTCACAGGTGTCTGCATTTACATCTCTATTTAAGTAGTCTTGCACAAGGATGAATTTCACACTAACAAGAATGTGTGCGAAATGCAATTAATATTCTGAAGCCTGCATTTTTGTGATAGAAAGTTGATCCCATACAGGTAGGGCTAATGAAGATATGAGTGTTTATAGTAAAAGGTGAGAAAATTAATTTCCAGAGTGAGGATGTGGCCAATCAAACCTGAATGGAGTTGCTTCATGTGCTGAAACTGGGTGAGTCAAAAAGGGTATAAAGATTTCGAAATTCTGTGGAAGGTCATTTCAGAGACTAACTTTCAGTCAGCAGCAGAAGGAAGTAGAGGAAGCCTGGGTTTTGAGATGAGGTAATACCCAAAGGTACTTTAACATCAGGGACTTTATTAATTTCCTCTGCAGTATGGTATAAAATTCCCATCCTCTTTTGCTTTCCAGTCCGTGTTCTATCCGAGTTCCTTCCAGTGCAAATGTTGAGGTCAGTCAAGGTCACCAGCATGTACGTGCTGTTTTATTAACGGGAAAAAAAAAAGGCGTTTCATAGGCTTGATACCTCATCAGAAGTATAGTTCTAGGCCAGTGACCAAACTTGCACAGGAGTCATCTGAACTAGTGACATTTCCTTATAGTGACTGGTAATAAATTCAGAAAGACGAATTGTCAGGATATTAAAAATGAGTCTTCACTCTGTACATTTCTGAAAAGCAGTAGGTTATGAAAACCTTTGATTCTGCTTGTCAGTGAATATAGATTCTGTAGATCACAGTAGTCACAACTCCCTGGTTTGCTTTTCAGACTTCTACCCCTTCAGATTTTCATGAGCAAACGATGTTTGCTGCATAATTGTCATATTCTTTAAAGAATAAAGCTTTTTTTCTTAGTAGTGGGTGAAGGATCCTTTTGTACTAATTCCCCAGTACTTACTTGACTAGGTGCATGAACAATACTTATGTATTCTGAATTCTACATATATGACACTTAAACATTATTTTCCGTGTATTTAGCTGAAGCATCTCTTTAGACAGCTATCACCCATAAAGCCTTTTATAATATCCAAAAATGTGAAATCTACATGGTGCTTAAATTCAGAATGTATTCTGCTTTGAACAATATTCTCTTTGCCTTCAACGTATATCCGCTTGGCCTATTTTTTCATGGTATTTTTAAAGACTTTTTTTTTTTTTTTCCCCAAAGTGAAGAACCTCAACAGAAATTATTTTAATGAGATAGACATTTAGTTCAACAGAAGTAGTTTTTAGTCGTGAGAAAAATAAATGAAAAGAATAATTGTGCTTTTAAAAGATAATTAATTAAAAACTCTGTGTGGTGACAAATTTAACGTCTTGTCTGACATGTTGAAAAGAAGAAAGTGCCTGGAATTGCACAAGTAGAATAAAACGTTCCATTTCGCAGCAAGGCCAAGCCTGAGTCTTGTAATTATTTCAAAGGGAGTAAAGGTCATCTTCTATTTGCTACATCTGTATTATGCGAGGCTTCTGTACCAGGCTTACAGAAGTTAACTCATGACCTATTTAGATTGCCCAGATTTCAAAGTTGGCTTACACTGTCACAAATCTGATAAAGTAGACATACTCCCTTCTCTAAGTACTGACATTGACGGTGTCCGAAGCAGGCTTTTTATTTATAGCTCTGTAAGACAAGAGCTTCAACTTTAAGATGCCAATAGCTGGGAGAGAACATGGTTTGCCTCTTTCTTGTTTTGTTAATCCTTTAGGAGAAGAGTTGTTTGTAGTTAAATTTCAACATATATTGCTTGGGCTATTTCTCTGGTGTGGTTTTGTTATATGACTTTGCTTCAGTTGCTGCTTGCATCTTGAGATCTGAACAATTTTCCTTCTGCTGTGATTGCATTTTTATGCGTATTCATTCAGTAATGCCATGACTCAGAAAGACAGGTACTTTAAAAATGCACCTGTGCACACAGAAAATGTGTGCAGAATATGCATACATGTCTTTCTGTGCTTGTGGCCATTTAAGTATATACTAGGTTATTCCTTTTTTTTATTTTTTTAGAATTAGTAATCAAGTTTTATGCACAATTTTGAGGGCAGGCTTTGAATATGTCAGTTCACATTTGCAGATGTCTCATACTGGAAGACCAAAGGGGACATGTCTAATTCTCAACCCCTATTGAGTCCAGAATCTCCAATAAAATCAACGTATCAATGTCAATAATTAAGGGATTAGGCATTGTGTTTTTAAGCCCTTGTAAGAAAGGCAGCAGTTATGTGGATATATAGAAGTAAATAGTAGTCAAGTGTATTGCACCTTGTTTGATGTATTACTTTAAGTCTTTCTCTCCTTTCTTGGTTAATCTTTTGAAGGGACAAACATAGAGCAGGTCAGGATGGAAGGCGAAGGCATCCATCTGCTGCATTTGACTACCATCAGCTTAATTGTAATGAAATATTCTGGCTGTTTCTCACAGTCTGCTAACACTTCTAGCCAAGCTTTTATAGCAAGTGTCAGTGACATGAAACAAATGATCCAGCAGTTGGTTTCAACAAGAACAACTAATGCAGACCAGGTGGGGTGTTGCTGCCTTTGGTTTTTATAAATGGGATCACATAAAACTTATAGCGAGTGTGAAGTGCATGAAGGAAGAGAGCAGATAATATATTGCTCTGATTTAGTGAATGGGCTATGAGTGGTGGTTGAGGGAAACATGCAGATGTTAAAATTTTGCAGGACATCTCTCTAGGATCAGGATCAGCATGCCTAAATGCTAATGTGGTGGAGAAATACGTGAGATGCTGCTATTGGGTTGGGAGATGAGAGAATGCAGTTTGTCATCTGAGCTGGTGAAGGAGAAAGGAGGCTTCAGCATTCCCCTGTGTGGTAGTAGGGAGAAATTGTCCTCACGTTACAGCTGGAGAGCTTTAATTGCAAAACTGTAATCGCGTGTTGAGCATGTCTACAGTAAATAGACCCATTTGTGCAGGGCCACTTGAATTTTACAGCAAATGTCATTCAGAACCACTGTGTTTGCTTGACCATGTTCTTCTTGGTCACTATGTGTGCCCTCCTTGATTTTTTGTTCAGCTGTCCAATAAGCAGCAGATTGGTCGAAATAAGTTTGAGATCAGAGTAGTCTGTATGCCAGCTGAAAGTCAGATTTTGAAAAACAACTTTGGAGGTTTTGAGGCAGAAAGTACTCTTGAAAATGCAGTTACAGATGTATAGGTTGAAAAATATAGATTTAGCTTTTCCTAGTCTTGACCTTGTCTCCTTTTGCCTCTGTCTTTAACCTTTTAAACTTTTTAGTAATTTTTTTTTATTGCTGCTTCTGTCTTGGACACTTTTACCCCCATGATCTCCTTTAAAAGCTGCCTGGAAAAATAGTCTTTCAGGATTTTGTCTCTGTTCAGGGACAGAACACAAACCTTCAGAGACTGAGATTAGGATTGTACCTATTTCCAACCAATTTTATTTTGCTTTTAAGCTTCATCCTTTGCTAAGGTGTTCCTGTGGTGACAGGGAACTTTGACCATGTACTAACAGTGACCCAAACTGTATTCAACTTTAACCTTCAGATCCACCTCTACTATGATGCACAAATTTATTTTTCGGTCTTCCCTTGGCGTAAACAAGCTTTTGATTACAGGGAAAATGGTGGAACTGTGTCTTGGAGAGGAGAGGAAAAAGGCAATAGTTTACATTTGTTAGCGAAGAAGTTTTCTCTTTTTTTTGTTGGTTTTTTTTGTTTGTTTGTTTGTTTTAAAGGAAACTTCTGTCATGTGAAATGTAACCCTTGAATAAAAATGTCTTCTGTAACTTGGTGATGAGCCTTCTGAAACTAGGTTTGCAGACCCTATTTATCAATTATTTAAAATCAATTTAAGTGCTTAATTGAAGCATATATTTAAGCCCAGCTGTATTCACCTGTGATTTTAGGAGCAATGGTACATCCTATGTTTTCACAAAGACTGTAATATCCTTTATTGATAATCTGAACTGAACTTAACCTTGAAAGCTACTATTTTGTAACTTCCATGCCAGCCCACATATATAAAAGCAAAACCTTACATAAAAAATTGTTTAGCAAGATTTGAAGGGGAAGTGTGAGGTGATGGATTTTTTTGGTTTATGAGCATGGAGCCCAATGCTTTGTTTTATGAGCACTGAGCCTAAACCCAGTATCATTCCCAGAAGCCGCTGTGATGGATGAACGAGTGGATGTTAAAAGTCCATTTCCTCTTTTTTCTCCCTTCAGGTTCTGCTGCTTGCACGTGCAGAAGATTTAGAATGTGTCCCTGGATTCCAGCAAAAGGTTTTCTATATTGAACAGCCATTTGAATTCACAGAGGACCAGCCAGTCCTGAACCGTATGTTATTTTCATATATTACTATTGTGCAAAAATCAGAATTGTTTATATATTCATATCGCTCCTGCGATCTGTCAGAAAGCTTTTTTTTTTTGTACATATGATTTTGAGTATTGCCATTATTCTGTCTGGGTTCCCCTGCATTAATCCTATATCTCTACAGACTTTACTCTGTTCCGCGTATTAGAGATGGCAAAAATACTATATATAATCATTTATGACAATATGAATAGTGTGAAAACTTAAAATCATCCACTTCTAAAAAGTAAATTTATTCTGAATTTTTTATAGTCTTTCCTATAATCTTGGAAATCAGGGCTTGCCTATCCCCATTTCACTATTAATTCACCTCTGCAACTCAGATTTAGAAGCTTATATCCCAGAAGTTCATTCAAAGCTGGTGCAAGTCCAAGTCTTTACATGAAATTCAGAGGAGGCTGGATGAAGCTTGTGATAATCAGTGGTAGCAAACTGCTACTACGTGTGTTGTACAAGTGGGATATTCAGTAATATTTCCAATGACCAGGTATCCCATTATAAAATCCAGTCTGGTAGTGTATACTCAAAGCATTAAACTGAAGGAGATTTACCTGTCTTTCAGTCCTGATGTTGGTTCATTCAAATCCTTTAGTGAGCAAGTGTTCAGCTTGTTCTTTCAGTTCTGTGGCTTTGGGACTTCAAGACTGTGAAACTAAGGTAGTACCTTATCCAATCATCAATGATTTTGGAGACTTGAAAAGATATTAAGTGCTGCCATTTTCATAACTTCCAAACACACCAGCATTTTTAAATGTGATATATATATTGCTAATAGTTTCTTTCTCATGCTTGGTTGCTTTCTGTTGAACCAGGAATTCTTCCAGATATGCAGCATGAGACAGTAGTTCTTGGCATCTACACACAATATCTAGATCCTACAGTGTGATACATAGTGATGGTTTGGTGAAACCAAGAAATGCAAAGCAATATTACTTATTAAATGCACGCATTTCCCATCTTAGTTCCTTCTAGATATTATTACTACATATTGATCTATTTTCACTGTTATGCATGTTTGAATGAAGGTGTATGCTTGTTCTAAAATAGCATTAACTTTTCAAAATGAAATGTCAGAATTAGTTGCCAGAGTCTAATGAAATGACTCTCTTAAGTCATTCGGCCCTTAATGGGTGCTAAAACAAACCTTTTAGTCTCAGCATTTTGATAAGTTACTTAGTCTGAGTTGCGTTTTCAGGGGAAGTTTAGATCATAAGTTCATGTTGTTCACAGAAATGTAAGATTATTCTTCAGTTTAGAAGAAAGATTTCAAACTTCTAATTTCTTTAAGAAATTTTCTTTTAAATTCTTCTTTTAAAGAGTTGATGAACACATTCTTGCATGGTTAAAAGTAAAAATTCATAAAATATAGGAAGTTATAATAGTTTTAATAAGCATGCAATGTTGAAGACCTATGTAAAGAAAAGCTATGTTAACAAGTTAGTGCTAAATTCAATAAAAATAACATTTGTTGTATTCTTTGGCTGCTTCTGAACTTTGAGGCTGTAGTGTGCCTGGCCAGGTCTCGTGCTGTCCTACTTGCCCTCCCAAACACATAAAGGATGAGCTGGTTAAGCCAAAATTGACTGGGCTCCTTTATGGTGACCCAGTAAATTGCAGTGGTGTGAAAATAGCACAATAATTAAGACGCCATCATTAATGTGAGGAGCAGGGAAGAGCAGGAGGAGATTTAGAAACAATCTTCGGAATTAAATTATTTTAATAAGCAGACGCTAAATTGGCCTAATATGTAATGTTTGACAAAGGCAGACTGTCGATGCATGATTCTAGTTAATTCAATCACTCATAAACAGTATGTCCTTCATGCAGCAGCATTAAACCTCTGCACAGTTTCTTCATTTTAGCTGTCAACAGAATTGATATTTTTAATTGTCTGTGTGAATACTCTTTGCATGCTCTTGCATCTTTTCATACCCATTACCCAAGAGCGGTGTAATTTAGCAGTTGCATTGCAATGCGAGGCTTACCGGGGCTGTGTAAATTAATAGAGCGAATATGCAAAGCAGATCTATAGCAGTGATTGCTTTTGCAGTCCTTGATAAGCCAAGGAGCTCCTTAATTCTTTTCTGAAGTGCAATAAAACAGTCTCTTTTTTTATTTTTCAATTTAAACAAGGGCCTACTGTACGTTTCATCGCTAGTATCTGCCTTGTAATTAAATATAGGTTATGGCTGGTTCTTATGTATTTATTACTTCTAAATACAGAAATGTTAATTACATTTTAGACTTAGTGACGGGAAGAAGAAAGAGAAGCAAAAACTGAGGGTACAGAATTTTATCTTATTACTTATTCTGACTTGTAACAATTCTTATCAAAGCCTACTTAAAGGCTGGCCACAACAATTCCATCAGTCCAGTGGTGTATGCATACCCTCCTTCACATTTTTTTCACTGGAATTCTGTTGCTATTTCTTAGCTTTTATCTTATTGTGTTCAGGCTGAACTGCTTTTTTTTTCCTCGATTTACCATTGCATCTCACTTAACAGCAACCTCCAGACTTGGACCATTTTATTTTCCTAATTTTATAATTTATTTTTTCTAATTTTGTCTTTTTTTCCTTATCAGAGCCCCTTAACTCCTTATAACTTGTGTTTTCTATGACCACAAATAAAATAAGGTATTGCTCTCCTACTTGTGGTCTGCCAAATTGTTCTCCCTGAGTGCAGTTTTCTTAAGCCAGATGTTCCCTTGATGTCATGGGAGAGGATTCATAGAGTCACTTTCTGGAAGTACTAGAAGCTCTGTCCATGCAATTACTGCTTTAACAAGCAATGACGTTACTGGATTTTTTTCCTTATAGCTCTTTTTAGTTTAGACCTAGGACCATCTTCTGCAATCAATAGAGAAGATCATAAAGATTGCTACATTCTTGATAAGGCGGTAATTGACAGCATTTAATTACAGGTTTTACACCTTTCTGAAATATTTGTGGCCATGAAATTCTTCCCCAGCAGCACGCTTGTCTTTGGCAAGGCTGACGGGTCACTGGTGGTGACAATGCTCTGTCATGCCAGCCTGACAGAAAGTTCCTAATCAGACTCATCAAACGTGGAAATGTAATTGTGTTACATTAATCATGTTTATACTTAACATACATGGGTCTTGGCTTTTGGGGGTATTTTTAATTGACAATGAATCAAACAGTGCACTTGAAAAATTGAGGCAATTAACATAAAGGCGTTGGGTGATGTGTTGTGCATACTAAACTGGGGAATACATTGCCAGTGATTTAAATGTCAAAACAAAGGAAGTTTTGACCCTTACTTGAAAAGCTTTAATTTGGATGTTAATTAATGGCTGACCTCTTCTGTCTCTTACGTGATAGATTGCATGTTTCAGAGCTTGAGCTGCTTCAAGATCAGGGCTTTTTCTGTCTGCATTTGGGTACTTTTTTTATTCTGTGGATTTTAACAAAGACTTTTCTATTCAAGCATATCGAAAATCTTTGTTTACTCATATGATGGGAAATATATTAGTCTGCTTATCATTAATGCTTAAAGGCAGTTCTTCTGTTGTCAGAGGCTACAGCTTTGCTAGACAAGATTTCCTTTGTTCAATGCCTGTGGAAAGATCAGAGCAGACCATTCCTACTACTGCAGTATCATATGTGTCCATGGATGGCAAGGCCAATCACACTCCCACCAAAACATTTCCTGTTGCTTCTCAGATGATGCCATGTGAGACTTGTGATTTATCACATCTGCTCTTCCCACAGTTTACCGTACCATTTGATTGTACCGGTGGCCTCTCTGTGACTCTTTCATGCTATCAATATTGCTGCTGTTACTCTCTTGTTTACTCTGATCCATACAGTGTGTGTTATCACACTTGATTTGCCTCCTCCTGCTTCGCTTTCTGTGGCTTGTTTAGAGCCAACGTGGCAGCCTAATTCAACATACTGTAATATGCCAAACCCTCTATGGAGTTTTAACATGAGGTTTATATGCCAATGTTAACTCCTCATGCTGAATATTGCAGGTTTTAGGTAATTGGGACTATCGGCGATAGTTGTAGCATGCAAAGGAACATGTTCAAGTGAGGCAAGATATTTTTCAGCATAGTAATCACTTGCAGGGAAAATTCTAGGCTTTTGGGTAATAGCTAGATAACTAGGGTTTTTTCACCTGTTCAGGTGTACATATCTGTAGTGCATCTGTGTTGAAATGTAGTTGTGGTTTTTCAAAATAAAGAAGTCTTTAACACATTTTGAATTCTACAAACATCTTGAAATTACTTTCATTTCACATAAATCACTCGCTATGGTAAGAAAGATACTTTAGAAAATGTTGAAAAACGACTTGGTTCCTGTGTTGGGCATGTGGTAGCAGGTTTTATGGAAACGTGTCTGTCAACTTTTTCTACCCAGATAGCAGAAGGCTTTTTATACTCTCAAATATATCTTAATGTGCACATACCCATGTGTAGAACTTGAATACCAGAGCTTCAGTTCTGACACTTGGATATGTGATTAAGACCAGACATCTGGGACTCTGTTATGCCGTGAGGACAGAAATATTGATCAGGATTTGAAGGCAGACATTAGGAATGTCTCTTAATCACACCATTCCCATTTAAATGGCTGTAGGAATCCAAACTCATGTTACCAAAACTCCAGGAAATATCTGGGGGTATGCAAAATAGTTGCAAAACTGGAAATAATCTTTAAAGTGGGAGTTTGGCAACTCTACAACATGTTCATGGAGACAGCGTGAAGAGAATCTTCAAAGGGAAGATCCTTTTGCACTTAAATACCCAAGGCATTGCTTTTTAATTGAAGTTTGATGCCTCTTTCTTAGAGGGAGAAAGTTGTCTGTGTATGTATTATAAATATGTATTGTGATGAAGTAACATAAAACAGCTCAGATGTGTCTCTGAATAGATATATGCAGATTGATGTTGCAATGTAACGGGGTATCAAATAATCATATAAACTGTTTTCCCA